ATATTAGAATATATATATATATATATATGTATATAAAATCAAGCACTGAAGCCTTACATTTAAAAAATCCCTAGCAATGCTTGTGTTAACAGTAGAGGAAATATTGGTTGAGCTTTTATTTAATTTATTTTAAATCATTTTATTGGGGTCTTTTACAGCTCTTATCACCATCCATCCATCCATCCATTGTGTCAAGCACATTTGTACATTTGTTGTCATCATTTTAAAACATTTTCTTTCTACTTGAGTCCTTAGTATCAGCTCATTCCCCACCCTCCTACCCTCCCTGCCTCATGAACCTTTGATAATTTATACTTTTTTTTTTCATGTCTTACACCAACCGCTGTCTCCCTTCACCCACTCTTCTCTCATCTGCCCCCCTGGGAGGGGATTATATGTAGATCATTTTGATCAGTTCCCCCTTCTCTCCCCCCACCTTCCCCTTCCCGTCCTGGTATCACTAGTCTTGTTATTGGTCCAAGGGATTTATCTGCCCTGGATTGATTGGTTGAGCGTTTATTACGCAGATTGCTTTAATGAATGCTTCTTCAGGCAAAGGTCAGACTTGAACCGCCTTTGGGTTGGTGAATGAAAGTGTGAGGAGCTGAACTTCTCGTGTGCAAATCCAGCTTGGATTGAGGGCTTATAAACTGCCATCTGGGGCCAAGAATAAGACATAGAGAAAGGACCCATCTCTAGAGTCAGAGCCAAGGGCTCAAAGAGACAGGACTGACTGTGAGCCCTGCCCTGTGACGGAGTGAGCAATTAAAGCTCTAGGAATGTTGTCTGTCAGGGAATTTTTTTGTTTCCTGACTTCTGTTCCTTCCTCCAGTTGTGTACTGAGCATAAGTAATTTTTGTGGCACATACTTCTCTTATGTTACTGATGTTTGGGGGAAGTGAAAGAAGGAGGTGCAATCCAAAGGAGCCTGGCATGAGACAAGATCATTGGTTACAGTTGGAGTAAGCCATTTCCCTCCAAGATATTTTAGAGCACTGGTTAGCTAACAGGATGTACACAACCTACTCGTTATACTTTGAGGTATGTGAAGAAAATATCACAACATCTTTTTACATTTCATTTTACATAAAAGAGAAAGAACAATTCATCTCAGCGATGTCTGTGCGACATACTTTCTTAATTTCTACACCAGAGGCACGTCTCTCTTATTGTATGCAAGATTTGCTGAGGGAATAGCCTGAGCTCTGTGAGGAAGAGATGTTGACAACAGTAGCCTCACTTCTTAATTATATTTCCAAACCCAACCATTCCACTGCCATCTAGTCGTGTTCTATAGAACAGACTGAACTGCTCGATGGCGTTTCCAGGGCTCTCCATCTTTAAGGGAGCAGATAGCTAGCTGCATCCTACTCCCTGATGTCATTGCCTTTAGGCTAGCAGTCTAATGCTGAACTAAATTATATAAGCAGATCTGTCAGTGAATTAAAAATAACACCCGTGGGTTTAGACTGGCCAAGAAAACCAGTTGAAATGTGGAACCTCATCTCACATGCTTTGGAGCTCATGATTGGTAAATCAGAGGGTCAGCAAAAAAGAGGAAGCCCCTCCATGATAGAGACGGACGCAGTGGTTGAGACAATGGGCTCCTACAGGAATGGTGGTCAGGATGGGCCCATCAGTTATACATTCATTCATCGATTATACATGGCAGCAAGCAAGTTCATATCGTAAATGAATAAAGCTCTTCAAGATACCGTTGCTGTGGTTAATTTTCAACCCAAGATCCATAGAATATAGTACACCTTTAATTATATTTTGCAAAACCATGAAGAAAGATTGATAAAAATCTTTTCTTTTTCTTGTAACCACACAGTGGTTTTCTAACTGGAAAACAAATAAAAAGTGCTGTTACATTTCAAGCTGAGGTACATATTTTCCTTTATAAAAGTACATATTCTAAACCTCTCACCTTTCCTGTGGTGTCAAGTGACTCTGTAGCATGTTGCTTAGAAAATACTTAGCAGAAGAGACACTTAATCCACCCCTTCATAAAGACAGTGCTTTTGATAGAAAAAGGAAGGAACTATCTTTTAAAAGATAACTTTGTTATGAAGAGAGTATTTTGAAAAGCAGGTGCTTAGGAATAATTCCACTGTTATTTGGTTTTGTCGTGAAAGCATTGTAAGTGCCCTGCAACCTAAAAGTTTTAGAGATACATACTTAAGTGTACTTAAACACCTACCATCAAAATTTTCTAACTTGTTCAAAAATCTTCCGAAGAGTTTCACTTGGCTTTCGGAAAACTACTCCTTTGATCATCCTTAGACCTTCCTTTTTAGCATCCTCTTCTTGGTGCTGTGGGATAGAGGTTGGACTGATAAACAAGTGGTAGGTAGTTCAAAGTCACCAGCTACTCGTCAATAGAAAGATGAAGCACGTTCCTTTAAAGATGTACAGACTTGGAACCCTTACACACAGTCACTATAATTGGGAATCAACTCAATAGTCATGGGTTTGATTTTAGTTTTCTTGTGCTTTTAATATCAGAGACCCTTAGACTCTTTTCCTCCTGCTTATATACTGTTATATGACATCCTACTTATAGGGGAAACCGATTACAAGGATCTACATATAACCCCTTCCCTGGGGGATGGACAAAAGAAAAGTGGGTGAAGGGAAATGTCGGACAGTGTAAGACATGGCAAAATAATTTATAAATGATCAAGGGTTCATGAGGGAGGGTCTTGAGGAGAGAGGGGGAAGAATGAGGAGTTGATACCAAGGGTTCAAGTAGAAAGCAAATGTTTTGAGAATGATGGCAACAAATGTACAAATGTGCTTGACACAATGGATGGATGGATGGATGGATGAATGGATTGTGATAAGAGTTGTACGAGCCCCTGATAAAATGATTTTTTAAAAATAGGACAAAAGACATCCTGCTTTAATGTTGAGCTAATTCAATCTCATGACTTTAGATAAATTTTCCATATTCATTGATTCCAATCTCTATCTCTACCTCAGATCTCTCCCCCAAACTCAGACTCGTGCAACCAATTGCCCACCTGATATCTTCATGTATGACTACTGACATCTCAAACCAGTTTGCCCCAAAGCTAGCTCCTGATCTTTCCCAGTACGTGAAGAGAATTGTGCGTACCATGTCTCTAGCTGAGAGTTTGGATTTGTTTGGGGGAAGTTAGTTTTGCAAACCAACTGCTTCAGGATCAGCGATGGCCATTGATTGTTTTTTGGTGCAGTGGGGTAGCTTCTCAGGCCCGTGCCATCCTCACCACTCTTCGTCGGTTGGAGCCCATCACTGTAGGCGGGGCCAATCCATCTGGTCAAAGGCCTCCCTCTTTGTCAAAGCTCCTCTACTTCACCCAACATGATGTCCTTCTCCAGGGACTGCGCTCTCCTGATAACATGTCCAAAATGCTTGGTCAGTAGTTCAAAACCACCAGTAGCTCCAAGGGAGAAAGATTGGGCTTTCATTCCCATAAACAGTTACAGTCTCAGAAACCCACAAGGGATTACAATGAGTCAGCATTGATGTGATGCTAGGACATCATTAAGTTGATGGTCTGTGAGTTTGTTATGAACTAAAATGAGGGTGTTGGGTCAATCCCCCAAGTACTGTACAGTGAGGTTTTGAGTGAGACGTGATCTTTAAACTTGCATCCCGTTTGAGCATCCCCTTTCCCTTGCTTGCCCAAGCACTTCTTGAAAGCATCTACCTATGTGTTCCTTTGCAGACTTTGGCCTGAGGTAGTGCCATTGAGTTGACTCTGACGCTCAGTGACATTGTATACAAGTAAACAAAACACTGGCGATGTCCTGTGTCATCCTTGCAATCATTGCTATGCTTGAGAAACGATTTTAATGTTGACTAATGTAAAATGCTATAGGGATATTTCCTTATTCGTTGAAGACTATTTTTATTAAAACTATTTTTACTTAAGAAGTATAAATAAACTGATGATATTCAAAGTCTCAGTGGCTATTTTAAAGGAACTGGGAAAATGCAGCAGCAATGATTGGAAACTAAAGAAAGCCAGAGAAAATCTTCTAGTTAATTCATGTCTATACATCTAGGTTGAAATATTTCCAAAGCATGCCATTTTTGTTCAACCCGATTAATTTAGTGTATCCCATGTTTTATGTAATGGAAATTATTGTAGTTAAAAAATCATCATTGTTGAATATTAAATTCATATGCCAGACATTTAAAAAGATATAAAAATGTCCCCTGTCCAGAATAAGCACAGGGACATGTATTCCAGCCATAATTTGTCTATGACTCTGTCCTATTTTATAGTGAGTACTTCTCACTACTTTAAATTGTTCTCCTTTCATCATTGTTTCTATGTGTTTTCTAACGTGTGGCCAAAATTAACTTGGCCATAAAGTCAGTACAATTGGTAATTTTTAAAAAACATATTTTTCTCAATCATTAGATAGACTCTTAGACGTGAGATAGCTTCAGGCTTTTCCAAAAGGATTCCATATTCCCCACTGAGCTCTTTAAATCGTTAGTCTACAAATGTTTTCTTAAAGTCTCAAATATTAGAAAGAAAGGTCTTATTAGGATTTGACTCTCAAGCAATGGATTCTTAACCAGTATTTATGTGGTTAATCCTGAAATGAAAAGGTCTAAGAACAATTTTATTTTGAAACTATTAAGAAAATACACAGAAATCTTGTACACACGATCATTAAAAGAAACCTAGGATATCTCTTCTGAATATGTGTTCTCATTTAGGCTCCAAGAAACGTGGTAAAACTATGAGCAGTTTTGTGGCATCACCAAAAATCAGTTATGCGGAGCTCTAAATTAACCTTGACATTTATGCCCTTGCTGAAGTGATGCTAAGACATCATTAAGTTGATGGTCTGTGAGTTTGTTATGAACTAAAATGAGGGTGTTGGGTCAATCCCCCAAGTACTGTAATGATAGATGCTAGGTAGTTTAAATTATTTGTCAATTTTTGTGGTCTTTGAGAACTGTAAATAAGTTTTACTTTTTATTTCCTTTTTAGGGCAGCATAACTATTTATGCGCTGGAAGAAATGACTGCATTGTTGATAAAATCCGCAGAAAAAACTGCCCAGCATGTCGCCTTAGAAAGTGCTGTCAGGCTGGCATGGTCCTTGGAGGTAATTTTTATATTTTCATCAATTACATAATCATGAACTTTTAATTTTACTTGATAAGATTGTGGGTCAGAAAATTCTAGCTTTCTTATGCATCTTTTTCTTGCTTTGGTTTTTTATTGTGAATATTGATGGTGACCCCTCATGTTTGAGTGTCCGAATGAAGCAGCTAATGTCTAGATCTCCAGAAGTGTGAAACCTCCACTCAGTGTCCCTTGACGTTAAATAGGTGCTACAGAAAGTGCTGACCTGTCTTTAAAGAATGCGGGCTGGAGTCTAGGTTCTGACACTCACTGCCTTGGTGGCTGTATTAGTCTGAGTACTTTGGAGAAACAAATCCACAGCAACTCATGTATAGGAGAATTTTATGTAAAGAAAATGTGCATCACGAAAACATCCCAACCCAATGCTGCCCAAGCCCACAAGTCCAACATTAACCCATTAACCCAACACCAGTCCACAAAGTCCTCCACCTCACAAAACAGAGGCAATGATGCTGACTGCAGGAGGAAAGCTGAGTCAGTGAACGAACAAGCATCTCAGCACTAGCAGGGGTCTCCACACGGCTGCTCCAGCACCCAGGGCTGCATCGGGATAGGTCCATGTGGCTTCTCCTTGGGGATGTCTCCTAGGAAATCAATCTTGCAAGCTAAAGCAGGAAACAGCTAAGGCAGCTGCACCCTGGTGCGACCATCACAAAGCAAGAGACCCGAGAACTAGAAAGGCAAGGCTCACCACTCTTTATCCCTCCACCTTTCAATTAGCCCCACATGTGATTATTGGCCAGGTTGGCACAATTAACTAACTCAGTGGCCTTGAATGAGTTATCAATCCTTTAAGGGCATCCATTTCCTTATCTGTATGAGATAATTTAAGTCCCTCGCAGCTCAAAAATGGATTCTGCCAATTGGTCAGGGACGTTGGTTTCTAGTTCCTGTAACCGACTAAAGCAAGCCACCATGAGAGAAGTAGGAGTCTATTTGATGGAGAGTTCTCTTACTGGATCCCCTTTCTCGTGTTTTTGTTATTAAGCGCCTCCAAAAAATTCAGTACTAGATCAGACATTGATCATTAATGTAAGATGTTAACAAATGGTTTCAGTGAAAATAAACAGTGTAAATGAGGGAAAAAAAGTTGCCAGAGTTGCAGGAAATAATCCCTACACCCTTTCCTTTTTTTTAAAATCTAAAGTACATCATGGCTTTATATCTAAGTATGGTTGTTCTAAAACACATTGAAATACACACATAACTGCTAAGTGAAAAATATTTATTTAATTTATCATCTAAAAATAGCTTGTATACCATCAGGGTGTTATGGGTATCTTTTGGGGGGAAACATTGTACTTTAACAAATATTTATCAAGTTTGGAAACCCACCAACTTCCTCTCTAAAACTTTTGTGCACAGCATCAGACAAATTAATCATTGCTTTTACTATATGTCCATCTTGCTTTATAAACTTCATTTAATTAAATCAGTTATCTCAGTGCTTTATGACTTACTGACTATGGATTTGTTTTCTGTAAAATCTCAAGGGCAATCATCGGGTCTCAATCTTTTATAATCTGTACCACTCTCTAAGGAGATGTTCAATAAATGTTTACTTAATGAATAAATCCGTTCTCTTAGCAGATTAAATATTACTTTTTAAAAAATTTCTCCCCAATTTCCTCTTTAGTAGTTCAACTTTCCTCTCAGAAGTGTTTAAATCTAAATCTTAGAGATTTGGACCTTATTACAAAGTTGCACACACAGTTAATATTGAATCCATAAGAAATCCATGGAGGTATTCTGACTTCCGTAACAGTGTGTGTGTGTGTGTGTGTGTGTGTGTGTGTGTGTTTCTGCAGCCCACTTGCCTCTGAAAGTGCTAGGACCTTTAGTACTAGATTCCATGTTGCATTGAGAATCTTTAGTCACATGTTCTCATAAATGAATTAAAAAGTCTTCAATTTTGTCATATAGTAGAAATTGTCAAGGTCTGTGTGAAGGCCACTCAGTATTCCCAAGGAGTGGTAACATAACTTGAAGTGTTTTGTATTATTTCATAATATGCTAGGTCTTTAGTCTGCCATTAAATTTTCCATTATCTTCCTTCTCCAGATGCCTTTGTGACCTTAAGCTACTATTCTGGTGCTTCATTGAGGATCTTCCTCTTTTTCACTGACACTCTTGTCAACCAAGATGTCTTTCCCCAATGACGGTCTCTCCTGCCAATAAGTCCAAAGGGCATGAGACAAAGTTTTGTCCTCCTCATTTCCTAGAAGCATTCTGGTTGTACTTGTGAGATCCTTGCCTATGGCTAATGGGGAGCTCCCAGCAGCTTCATCTGACTAGCTACTCTACAGATGGGCTTTGGGCCCCCACTGTCCTCTATAGCCTTCTACAAATTGGGTGTTTGCATTTGAGGCTCTGATATTTTCCCCTTTGTTAATATTTGAATTTTGTTACTGCTGTCTTTGGATTATACAAGTGGGTGTGCGTCTTCCATGTGGACTTAGTTGATGGCTCGCTTAAGTGGTTGCTTGTTTGAATACAAACTTTTAAGAACCCAGACACTATTCCGATTGATAGCCAAACACCATCTGCTTTCTTCACCAAGCTTCGCTGTAGCACCCTTCTCTTCAGTAATCATTTCATGTAAGTGAGTATTGAGCAGGGACATGTTCTCAGAGCAAACTGTTCTTGGATTGCAGTTGTAGTTCAGTGGGGCCCAGAATCCACCTACTTGTCTCTCGGATATGCATGACTCAGGTTTCCTTTGACGGTCACATTGTGACAAGTTCAAAATCCCAGAAGAGCAACTACCCCAACTACAGCAACAAACCGATTAGTAGGTACAAATGACAAACAAACAAACAAAAGACGCAAACTAAAGGTAGGAAAACAAAAGCCCATAAAGCAGAAAAGTACCATATTGTCAATCCTCCCCTTGGGGTATAAGGCAATTGCACTTGTAATGCCATCAATTTTCCCCAGGACACATAACTCCGGACACTGTAGTTCTGAGGAGTCTGTGCCAGGACAGCTCCACCCTGAGCCACAACCCATGAGTCATTGCTCCACACAGTTCAATCTCCCATTCAACTGGGCTCTGTTGACCCTAATAAGCAATGGGGGTTAGTGCCATGGGGAAACTTCCTGGATCAGTTCTTCCAAGTTCAAATCCCTACCCAACTGATCAAAACCTCTCATGTCACAGCAAGGGGGGCATCAAGGTACTAAATCAATGGTGATTCTGGGCCCCTTTCCATTGGACACCCACCAAACCGGGGTTCCCGCAAGGTCCAATGACTAACACTTCCACAGGTCTGGAGTGGCCACTCTCGGCTGCCTCTCCCATCCTTTCTGGAGGAAGGGGGAATATCTTGTATCCTGTTAAGAATGAAAGTTTTTGAGTTGAAAATCAGGGTTGCTCATGGTTGGATACTTCTGTAATGATAATGTAAAACAGCTATAGAAATTGTTGGTACTTCACCAAAAAGAGACAACTCCTATTTATTCATTCATTTGTTGGCTCATTCATTAGTTCATTTACTCATTTCTTTATTTTCTTTATTTCTCTTTCATTTCCTCTCCCTCTCTCCCTCCACCCTTATCTTCCTCTTTCCTTCATTTCACTTATTTATGTTTATCATTCCTTTTTGAGGTTTTAAGGCTTCTCATTTCTGATATCAAGACTGTTTAACAAAAAAAAGAAAAAGAAAAAAATAGAACATTGAAAATTTTTAAAAAATCATTGTATTGGAGACTCGTACAAATCATCACAATCCATACATCCATCCATTTTGTCAAGCACATTTGTACATGTGTTGCCACCATCATTCTCAAAACATTTTCTTTCTACTTGAGCCCTTG